ACAACTGAAATACAGGTAAAAATGTGGAAAGGTGGTATCCATTTATTTCGGAAAAGTAATGCACGAAAATGCGGAAACGTGAAACTGGATTTTCGCCCAAAACACAACATAGAAAACTAAAGACTGAGCAACACGAACCCCACCGACTTATTGAATAATCAATGTAAATGATAAATCATGCACATAACTATGTTCATCATTGACTTTGGACGCGCTATACACACATTTTTACATTTTGAATTTCACTGTTGATAATTCTGTTAAGTTGTAATGGGTTTGTTGTTTTTATGGTAAGCATTTCTATGTTATTGAACTTCTAATTAAAAGAGTCAATTTAGTTACCTCTCCGCAAACCGTTGTAATTTTAGTAATTCATCATAGTTTTCTGTTTCTCTATCAGGCGAGGACGAAAAAGGATCGGTTTGTTTCTTGTAAAGACGACTTAGTTTATAGAAAAGCCATTGTCTCTCAATTAACACCCCCCACCCCACCCCCACCCCTCACCCGACCCCCCTTTTCCGAGCGTTTGTGGCAAGATTCGAAAATATGAAATAAATGCAGAAAACGTTAATTGAAACATTTTTCTGCAACTGTACTTCATGCATTCTTTGAATAAAAAATAATAACATCGCATGTGAAATCAATTTGAGATGAAGAACAGTAATAAAAGCGCTGTGCCTTTGCTTTTTGTGCTTTCTGTTGTGCACATACTGATTGTGTGTCAGAAATAGATACCCCACATTTCTTTTCTATGATTCGTGATTTCATAATTTTGCCAATTGTACGTGCTTTCTAAAATTAAGTATTGAAGGACATCATTAACAAAAATAGATAAAATTTAATTCTTCATGACAATACATATTTTGCTTTGGAAATAATGTTTGTTTTGGTTGGAAGTACCATTCATATTTCGTTAATTACTCTAAACTTGTCAAAATCTATCAAAACTGCAATTTGATGGAAAAATTATTTATGATGTACAAATTCATGATACCACAAAATCTTTGGCTATATTTGATTATGAGTTCACTTCTGCAAAACGACAACTTTAAGATACAACTTAATGTGGATTGAACAAACTTTTTCAAAAAGGGAAATTGATCTTGCTTCTTTCCAATATTTCTTTTGCTTTTTCCTTTTTTTTTTTTAATTATATTTAGTATAGTTTATCTTATAAATGCTTCAATTTTTGCGAGAGCATTTTTATTTCCATTCAAATCAGATTGTTCTTTCCATTACTATGACATTGCAGGTAAAATAAATTTTAGTGTAATAGTTAACATTGGAACTTTGTGTGGACAGAACACGAAAGAAGAACGATAACTCAATTTAAATTGTTTAAATAACATCGAGATATTTATTCCCTGTATTGCATTATTTCAAACCTCTTTATTAAATCATATATGAAAAAGTTGTAACAGCAGTGCTACACGTGAAATCGGCTTTATAAACGACGACTGGTTTTCTGTCAGTTGCGTATTTAGAGGAGGGACGGTGTTATGTTTGAGGTGGACTAATTATGAAGAAGTTAATCCTGTTACTGCACAGACATCAGATCCATTATAGTTCTTACTTTCATTTTTACCGTAAAAAAAGACCTCCCCCCCTTTGCGACTTCATTTTTGAATATGATGGAATCCGCCAATCTGAAATAAAACAAAGTTACATTATAAGAGAGATATCATCGCCCAGAATATGCATGACATATTTGCCACTGGACGTTAAGCAAAAAAGAAGAAAAAAAACAACCAATCAATATGGAGAGTTGAGAAATTGAAATTGTGAGTTGTGGCCACTTGTATAGTCACTTGATTTAACCAATTTGAAATCGTTTCTAGAACTATGACTTTTTTCCGACTTTCCTTTAAATCCGAATTTCAAAACATGTTTTTTTTAGTTAATTTAATTATAATTTGAGTTCTCCTAAATTATTAATATTTATGGTTTCCAATAGAAAAGGATCCCAGAGGGTTTTTTTTTTATTATTTTTTGTCTTGTTTTTGTTTTTGTATCCACGACTACTCCTTAACCACTGACTTTTAAATTTAGAGACCTTTTAGTATCTTTTGCAACTGTTTTCATTCTTTAGATATAGACATGTGCAGATAAGAATGCTACTTTAAATGAACCTGGGACTACTACAATATATAAGTCCTTGATATAACTTAAATTTAAATTAGAAGAATTCACAACCAAACGAAATGTACTTAGAGTTATCTTGATGCGAAAAACCTTGTGTCGGCTTTTAACCTAGTTTATACTGTGTCCTATCTCTTAAGTGACAACGTAAAATAGAGTATGAATTACATGGCCCGGATTTCCGTATAAGGTACAAAGAAGTAACGATGATGCGTATCTAAATTATTCCACATGTACATACACATGTATGCATATACATACAGGTGTATACCTGTAATTAAAAAAAATTAAAATAAATCAAAATTTTGTTATATTGTGAAAACCAAATGAACGCTCGATTCGTTTTGGAATAACATTATTTCATCGATTTTTTTTATATTGATTGATAAGTGACTGCCTAACTTCATGTGGTAAAAGTAACATACACATTCTGGACGAGAAAATGAAAATACCATAAAAAAAAAACCCATCGTCATAATTGCAATTACACGACCTATTAGGTCAATGTTCTGACAACGAATCGTCACATCTTTTACCTTAATACGGTCAAACGGAGATATTTTGTGCTCTGAATGATGTCTTAGTAATCTACCAGTCTGGTTGTTATAGTTCACATTGTCTTATCAAAGAATCTGGTACATATATACAGTGGTCACTATACGAAGGATTGATTGTCCGGATAGTCATGAGGTTCTTAGCACCTAGTGTGCTGCTAACTGTTAATCTAGTGTATGCTCTCGAACCTGAGGTTAGATTCCTGACATCAGACGCCGTCCAATTTATACTGAAAGGCAAGTCATAATTGTAACTCGTACTGTTATTGTAAAAACCGAATTGAATTGAAATTGTATGTCTAACTAAGTCACTACAGAATTTGATCCAATTAAAATGAATAAATCCAAAATCTAGGATAATTTTGATACAGCGGAAATGTTGATCATAGTGCATTCATTGAATCGACCCCGTTTTTATAAACCAGATGTGCATTTCGACAAATACTGTCTTTTAAGTGATGTTCTTCTTGCCCTTCCGTAGCATCAAATGTCACCCATAGGTTTTTTTTAAAGGGGTTCGTATTTTTGATTTACTATTAACTTGTGTGATAATTTTTTCAATGTGTTTTGTTTCTATCGGTAACAGTCGTGGGAATCTTTAGTAATGGAAATAAAATTGAGAATGGAAATTGGGAATGTGTCAAAGAGACAACTACCCGACCAAAAAGCAGAAAACAGCCGACGGCCACCAATGGTTCTTCAACACAGCGGGAAAATCCCGCACACGGAGCCGGGCTTCAGCTAGCCCCTAAACAAAATGTGTACTAGTTCAATGAAAATGGACGTCACACTAAACTCCAAAACATATAAACCCGTTTTCACATTTCAAATTTTCTCGTTCGGTCAACATTTTGTATACGAATGGTGGTATGATGGCCAATGAGACAGCAATCTGTAAAGACCAATGTGAACAAGTACAGGTCACTATACGACCTTCAACAATTCAGTTGCCAAACCCATACCGTATAGTAAGCCTTATCTCTGGAGTTCTACCTACATAGTATAAGGTCAACATTGTCAGAGACTAAAATATAGATATATATTTGGGGACAAGTTTAGATTAACTAAATTAAGACAACAAATTTCAGTAAATACATGTACATGTTGATGCATTCGTGTTGACTATAATTGAGATATCAGATAGAATTAATCAAAATCAATAAAATTGATATATCTTTGTAGATGAGCCTTTGTTGAGTAATGTAAAGATTGAAGTTCAAACAGAAAGACAACAATTTTACGAAGAATTTGCACACCGCATAGGTTAGTTGAATAGTTGACGATATGCGCCAAGGATAGTAAAAAAGCATGAAATGACATACAAATAGAGATATTTCCAATAGAATGGAATTATACGCATACAGATTTATCTAAGAAATAACGTTTTCATGCCGTATGTTCTATGCTCACTTTAACATGGGTATGCATTATATTTGTCAATATCTTTACACCGGGCGTTTTCGAGGTGTAAAATGTTGACAAATATAATGCGTACCCATGTCAAAATAAGCATAGAACATGGCACCAATCAAATTAAAATATAGTTCTCTGATTTCGCTATACCTTGTATGAATATGTCACCCTTGTATGAAGTATAGCGAAATCAGAGAACTACATTTTAATAAGAGTGATATGGCACGATAGAATTATTTCGATTCTAATAGGAAAATTTAGAACTTTTGTACTTCAAAGAGGGCTTATAAAACACGTTCGAAAGGCAGCCATTTTGATTTTATGAGGCCAAAACGATATATAGAAACCATGCGATAAATTTTATTGCAATTAGAACATGGCTTTGTGTCCAAAGCGAAATAAGATCGTCATATTAGAATTGATAACACGGAAAGATGTACGTAAAGGCTTGTTTGATAGCAACGGCAAATGTGTGTACACGTTTGGTTAATAACATAAGAGAAGGTCCGGAAGGTGTTTACAGAATAGAGAATAATGAGTAAAAAGTGCAGAATAAAGGCAACAAAATATAAAGAATAGAGAACAATCGGCCAAAAAAAATAAAAACTACAGAATAATGGAGTGCTAAAATATAAAGATAATGAAATAATGGGCAAAAAATATAAAGAATAGAGAAAAATGACTTAAAAAATTAAAGAATACAGAATTAAAGGACCCCATCCAGACCCTCATTCAAAGATATGCGTACAGGTTTGTTTAATGTACGTAGCATAGGAATGCATGCGTTAATGTTTGTGTTATATCATGGACAGATATGTGTAAACACGAGGATGAAATTACACCGTAAACAAATTTGGTCATGCATTTTCCGTTAAAAAAGATATTACATTCACTGTTTGTCTATAGATATGTTAATTTTCAGGTGACGGAGTATGGGAACTGACAATCACAGAACTGAAGGTAAACTCTGGCGAAGATTTGCGATACAGAATAACAGCTTATTATAAAGATGATATACAAGTCACAGAATGGAGGACACGTAAGTTCATTATGACATACGCAAAACCCTAGAGTAAACCGAAGTGAAAACACCAAACAGTCATAACGAATATATGAAACAAATAACCAATATGTTTACACAAAATAAGCTTATTTTAATCTTAGATAACAATGTATCAGTTTAAATACTGAAAAGTAGGTTATAGTTAAACTCTTCTAGGCTAGTCTCGTGCGTTTCCATCTTAAAGTATAGACGAGACCAAAGGTCCGTTAAGCTTAATACACATTGACTTTAACTGAACACAAAGGAAGTAAAATCAATCAATTCAGAAAGTTGTGACATAAAAATAAGTATCATGTGTTATTCATTTTATATCCAGAAATTAAGGGGTAAAGAACGCCTCAGGTAGTTAACTCTTTAAAAATCATCTGAACGTTTTAATCACATACTATTAGTAAGGAGAAATCAAGCTTCTCAAAGATCATAATTTGTGTTTGTCAAACCGTTATATGTCCAATGAAATTATTCCACCTGTAAATTGTGTGGTTCAAATTTCTTGAAATCTTTTTATTTTTTTCAACAGGTTAAGGTAAATATTTTCTCAAAATTTAAGAATTTCCTGCTGGAGTAGTTCTTTAAGTTAGTGTCTGTTAAATCAAAGACATCTGGTTAAATGTATTCACAAATTTTTAAATATTCGATTGGCTGGAGAGGGGATAAAGACACTGGAGTGTAAAGACGAGGACGTATTTAGACACTCGATTAGAATAAAAGGACTGTGTTTTTTATCCCCCCCCCCATGTCACATATTTTGCTGTAACAGTGGCTTGGTATTATTTGATACACTTTGCTTATACGATATCACATTTTAAATAAAATATACAAAAACCTGAAACTTTTTAATTTTGGTTTATGAATTCCAAAAATATGAAAGAGTACGAGAGAGAAACATTGCAGTTATAATTATTTCATAGCCATGCATCTATCAGCATATTCCATAAAACATTTTGAATTTTAGAACTAAATCTAGAAAGGGGACGATTGACAGTTCGAAATATCATTTAGTGCCTTGTCTATTGATGAAGAACGTGTGAGTTTCCTTTAATTTATTTTGTTGGGTTACTTATTCTTTCACGTAAACCACAAATCTTGTATTGGTGGTACATGTATGAGTTATGACATGTGGGGAATGAATTAAGATTACTCCATTGACATTTTCAGATAAATTAGAAGGGTTACGGCCTGTTAGAAGCATGACGAGAGCTGTCGTGTTTAGGGACGATTTTGATACTGTAACATTTAACCAAAAAGATTATAAAATAGACTGTACCGCATGGGGTGGCGGAGTAAGTATCTATTATATATTACGATCTTACAATTATAACAGTAAGATAGTATGAATAGGAGCAAGAAACATCAATTAAATGAAAATAAGTAGAAAGGGGAAGCCATTTTGTTTTTGAAATAATAATTTAAACACTTAGAAAAAAAGGCCTTCTCTATACCTCTAACCAAAGTGGAATAAACAAACACACAGCAATACGCACAGTAAAACTGTTTAATTCAATCAAAATCGATGTATTTGACATGCAATATTTTCAAAAACGTGTTTCGGATACGGCCATTTTTAGTTTTTCATACATTGAGCATGAAATACGAATTCACCTGAAGTAGTTTCAGGATTTGAGTCATCCTTTTTTTTCAATCTCAAAATAAATAAACATTCAATCCCTCTATTGTGCTTCGTCCGAGTTATATCGTCATTAGAAGTTCCAACATGAGTAAAAAAAAAGTTGATTCTATAATGTGATTATCATTAAAATGATCATTGAAAAAAGGAGATGGTGTATTAATTCATTATACTAAATCACTACGCGGACATAAAAACACCAAAAGGAAGAGACACAACACTTTTATCGCTGTTCTTCATTGCAAATTCACCGACTTATGCATGCACCAGATTTCTCATTGAAACAAAGTGCGCTAGTTAAAATTTCAAGCAAAGGAAATTATAGCAAAGTAAACATGAATAAATTGATACTCACTTTTGTGCCAAGATAAGATAAAGATATTCCTTGAAAATTCTACATAACCAACTGCCTGTCTTCTCAATCCTGTTCGTGATGCTTCATAGTTAAGTTGTGTTAAAAAAAGCGTATGTATGGTAACGATTTTCGTGAGCACAACACGTGTTTGTAATAATTTGCATATACAGGTTTAAAACCAAATTTTTAACAAAAACAAAGGTCTATCTTGTTAAAAAAACAGTCAATGATGTTTTCTTTTTTAATATCACAACAATACATGTATGCTTCTAAAATATACAATGTCAAATGTACTTCTTTGTTGCAGAACGGAGAATTCCAGGTTTATGTACCTGAGGATGCCAATTTGTTTACCAAAAATGGGAATTTTTTCCTTAAGCCAGTAAGTTAGTTTTGATACTTTCAATCGACATTGAATGCAGGGTAGTTTTAATTAAACGATAACCCACCCCCACCTAAAAAACCTAAAAAAAAACCTAAAAAAAAAAAAAAAAAAAAAAAAAAAAAAACCGAAACAGCAAATGGTGCAACTGTTACAGCTAGTTGTCAACACTTAAATTCAGTCTTGACCAACAATGCATGGCAAAGAAAAAATTTAAGCGAAACCCGTTCAAAAAAGTTTTTGTGAGTAGTTGCTTGTTTGTATCAATCATCTTAAAATATCGCATTAAAAGGTTATATCATTATCACACACAAACGTCGAACAAACTTTAATCATACAATATAAAAATAAGGAGATGAGGTATGATTGCCAATGAAACAACTATCCACCAAAGTTTAAACAAAGTAGATGTAAGCAATTATAGACAACCGGTTACTTCATGAAAATTGGTGAATATTGTCCCATGTTTTTAAAATCCACAAGCTTATGAGATCAATATATATTCTACGAGAGATACAGTTTGCCAATATTCATGCAGTAACCGTTTCATTATAAAGCAAAGCTTGAAACAATGAATGCTTAAAACATACCTTTGTCCCTGATAACTTCATTAAATTGAAACTTTACTTGCACTAGTGCAATATGTTATTGCATGCTTACTTTTGGTTACGTTCTGTATGGCATTTTGTTGCTATTTGTCCGCTATTACTGGACATCACAAAGGTTCCCGTAAAATTATGACGTCACAATAGAAAATATCTGACGCCACAATGAAAAAGTGATTATTGTATGACGTCAAAAGTTCAACCGGCGCAGATTTCCAAATAGCGATAAGGTGTATGGAAACGGGTAATGCGTCAAAGAGATAACAACCCGATCAAAGAGTAGAAAACAGCCCAATCAAATTTTAAAAGATATATAAGTACAAAATAATTCCATTTCTTAACATAGAAATAAAAAGGTGTAGCATGATTGCCAATGAGACAACTTGAGATCAAATTTGAAGTTGAATACAACCATAAGGACTGCTTTTAAAATGCCTCTTTTTGAAATTCCTGCAATTAATTCATACCTCCAAAATAGAATACCATGATATATGCAATAAAACTGGTGAAAGTTTCCACTAATTCAGTTTTTTATTCTTCCATCCTTGTTGAAATCTCTATTTTGTAAAATGTAGTATGAAATTTCAATTAATTAGAAACAACGTCTTCAACGACTGTTTTAGTGGTAATATCAATATTATGGGAACGAAGTCCCCAATTACGGTAGAAAAATCAATTAAAAAAAAGAAAGAAAAAAAATCAATCTACTAATGAACTCAAAATCGTTAACTTTTTTATCAGACTTTTTTTAATTTCCCGCGTCTGCACAGAAATCTCTTTCTTTCTTCCGGTCCCGTTTATCACGAGACTTTGAGTAAAATATATATTATTAGCCTAGTAAAATATAGGAAGAAGCACAATAACAATTTCATTTTATACATTATTTGATATGAAAAAAAAACAACGTTACCTGATGATAGCGTTTCTTTGTTTACATTGAAAATGACGTCACAACAAAATTTCCTATCAACAGGACCAACGTCGGAAATGTTTCCATATTCCCGATTCTTTTTTTAACAGATTCTGAAGTTAAAAAACTAATTTATACAGACTTCGTCCCCTTTCACAGGTAATGCCTGCCTCATTTTATTACATTGAAATTTATTGTAAAGCTTTGATTTCAGACACTTACAGTTGATCACAAAGATTTTGACACCAACAGGTTATTCCGTGGACGAATGAATCTTAAAGGTAAGGGGACTTTACGGAACAAGCGAAAGTATTTATATATGATACGTTTGCAATCCATGACAATGGTTTACCAATCTCCGAAACAGTGGTGACGTTGCTTTGCTGAACATCAGCGAAGTGTAGCAAGGATGACGTTACCACTGTTTCGGTTTTATTCTAAGTTTGAATGTGAGAATAGCTAATCTTTTAGTTTAACTACAATAGCATGGTTGTCTTTATACAGTTTGCTGACCGATTGCATAATGTAACCACAGGTCTGATACATCCCGGGCCATCATGGTATTTGTGTTACAGCGTTGCTGATAAAGGTACACAAATGTAAGATCATGTAAATCTAGAAAAGCTCTTCAGACGCACCAAAATAATAAAGATTTGTTCTCATTAACTGTTCAGACCTAATCTCGACTCTTTATAAATATTAGAATTTCTTCCATTTTCTTATCAACAGAAATGTACGGGTATTGTACAATGGCTGATAACTGGGGATGTGACAGAACAGCAGTGAATGGTAATGTACTGAATCCAATCATGTCAGGAAAAGTTACAACAAAGGCAGCTATAAAATACGGAACCGTCACAGTTAGGGCTATCATTCCAAAAGGAGACTGGTTGTGGCCAGGTATCTAAATGTAGCTGTTTTATTTGATTTAAACATATTTTTTGCATTCTTATGACAGCAAACCAATTTTAATTATATACTTGTAGCCACCTCGAGTTGATGAACGGATTTCAGTAATGTGCAACTTTTAACTATTTAAAACATGATTTGTACATGTGAACAATTTATATCAGTGAATTGTAGAGTTCTATTGATTTAATAATAAAAAAAGAAGATATGGCATGATTGCCAATGAGACAACTCTAGACACAAAACGGCGTATGAGTAAGCAACAATAGGTCACCGTGTGCGGCCTTGACTGTGAGCGAGCTATTAAAGGCCCCGAAACAAAAAAAATAAAACAATTTAAACGAGAAAATTAACGGTCGGATTTATGAACAAAACAATAAATGAAAAACAAGTATGATATGCAACAACAAACGACAACCACTATATTACAAGATCATGACGTGTAAGTCCTTTTAGGAATGGCCTTTAATGATGACATTACATTTTTAGTGTCCTATATGATTCAAAGTAGACAATGTTGACACATTCCGATTTTGATTTACGTTCTTGCAGAAATTAAACATTGATAATCATGACAGATACTTCAGCTCTATCATGTATAATTTCCAGTAACCTATATACAGCCACCATATTAAATCAGTTAAACTGTAGATCGGTTAATTTTATTATTATGGCATGCTACGAATATCTACATGTATCAACTCTACCGAAACATTACATATTATGTGTCGTAAAGCAGTATCATTTTGCTACATGCTAAAATTAAATTTAACCAAATCAACCATTTATTTGTATCTATTCCATTTGGTTGATACGTAATAAAATATTGAATATTTGGCAAACAAATAACCACGTCTCTTAATAAACAAACGTTTATGTAACGAGAAGATTTTGTCCTTTCAAAGCAATATGGATGTTACCACGTGACTGGCATTATGGTGGCTGGCCTCGTTCTGGGGAAATTGATATCATGGAATCGCGTGGTAAGTTTATTTTTTATGTTTAGGTATATATCGACTACGCATGTCTTTATGAATAAAATAGGTAAAGGGTTCAAGTTAATGAAAAAACAACGTTATGTATTGCAATGAAGACGTAGTAGTTTAATATAATCTATCTTCAAAGTATCCGGCAGTTTCGTGAAAAATATATCACAGTTATCTGTCTAGGTTTCTACTAAAAAAATCTACCTTCATTTTTAATTTACCAACAATACCCAGATGTATGTACCAGTTAAAGTGAAAACTTTTCATGAACTACTAAGCATGTTGACGCAATTCGGTGAACGAAAACATTCGATGATTCAGTGATCACTAGATGAAATAGATTACTTCTACTTGACATTGAGCAACAAACCATAGAAAATATCGATTATTGCCTATTTTATGCCTTGTTTTCAATGATGAGGCATTACTTCCTATCTAAATGATTTATTGGCATTGCTTCAGGCCTACTTTTATTTCAAAAGTTTAAAAAATAAAATCAAACTGATAAACTTGAATGATATAACTCAAGGAAACCAGAAGGCTGTGTGTGGCGGTAATAATCACGGTATTGGAGAGGTATCATCCACACTTCACTGGGGTACCTCGTCGAACCATAACGCGTATGGAAAAACGCATGGAGAACGGTTAGTAATATAATTTTAATCTACTTTTTTCTAGCTTGTAAACGCCCCAAAAATTAGTCAAACAAATTATTCATATCTTCATAGATTGATGTTTGTTTTTTTAATGTCCAGTGGCAATTATTTCATGCATTTTCAAAACAAGAACAAACTAACAATAAAAACAAATCGATAGGTTCTGCAAGGTACAATGTAGGTCGACCAGGATGTAGGACGGGACATTTTTGGCCGTAACTGGAAATAAACGGTATGCTTGATAGATGCAGACACTTTGCCTTACAACAGGCCACTTACACACACACCTAACAAATGGATAAAATATAGATGTAGAGGAACTCGTTGTTTTCCATTTTTCTTAATTGAAAGTAACTCCCATGATTTTAATTACTAGTAAATGATATTTTATTAACATGTTTTCTATACTTGAATTTCTCCATCAACAAGTAAGGCAATACATACCTGCATCTATTGACACATATATGTACATGTATTCATTTCAGGGACAAGACTGATGGTGGAGATTGGCATGGATGGCACACATATAAGTTGGAATGGGATGCAAACCATATTAGGTAAGTAACTATTTGTTCTTAATTTTAATTTACATGTAGGTTGATTTACTAGTCTTCTCTAGTTTGACGGTAAGTATATTGCAAATTTTGAAAATTAAATGAAAGTAAAAATAAAATCTAAATGTTCATATTGCGATAGTGAGCTAGTAATTCCAATACGTTATTGACTTGCTGTCTGTAACCCAAACTCTACTTTTATTCGTAATAATGCACTTACAAAAATACATTTTACGTGATATACGAATGTCCAGCCAATATAGCAGAAGACACCAATTGGATATTCAAACTCATAATTTGAAAACAAACTGACAACGCCATGGCAAAAATCTCAAAAACAAACAAAAGAAAAAAACATCATTTGTAGGTTAAAAAGGGGGATTGCGTTGAGATCCCTAGATTTCTCTATTGGCATTGGGTGCCTGTCTAACTGACGTATACCAACAATTCAGTATAAGTTTCCACCATGAACAGTCAATAATTATCGAATTTAATTGCGCATGTTTTATTTAATTTAAATGGTGCTGTAGAACTTGACCTACATTTTATATATTTCATGGTCCAATAGATTGATTTAAAAATTATGCTCAACCCAAACTGTTGTCAAAAGAGGGGAGAAAGATAAAGACGAGTCAACGTTGTTACTATTAAACGTTGTATGTCGTATCCGTCGTCACCAAACGAAACTTGGCCTGTATTTTAAAGGGTTGACAATGTGTAGTGGATGCAAACATACGGTCATTGAACCAGTACTTTATTGACCACCTACATTTTAGGTCATACGAGATAAGAAAACTACTGTCAAAATGATTAGTTTAATATAATCTAGACAATTTAGTTCAAACTTATTACTTATGACCTTACTATGTATTCGTTAACATGTCAGCTTTGCATATTTGACCAAAAACGGATATATTTTTTGGACGAATCAGATATGAGCAAAGGCCATAACTGCATGATTGATTGGTGTTTCCTTAACGTCCAATAACAAATATTTCATGCATGTTCAGGACGAACAAGGCTATAATCTGAAGGATATCTTTGAATAAGAAATCTTGACGTCTTTCATCAAAACATCTAGTTGACGGTAATCATTTCAAAACCTCTTTGAAAGTTTTGAAAGGGATATGCTTGAGCCAAAACAGAATCCATGATAGATCAATTGATGCATATTAATAACTAATTGGCGTAATCTTCTCTGTCACAAATAATAAATTTGTTTTTACATGTAAGAACAACTGTTGATGGCCACGAAGTATTGAAAGTAACAACGCCATCTGGTGGATTCTGGAACTGGGGAGGATTTGGTGGTTCAAACATCTGGGCCAGCGGAGGCAGGAATGCACCTTTTGATCAACCGGTAAGTATGCTTGTACTTCTGCAATTATACTCTGCTGTTATAGTGCTTTGTTTCAAAATGGTTGTTATCTTCATGTAGTTTACGTTCACTTTTCATCGTAAATACCTTTTTGTGTGTGACCAAAAAGCGTTTGCGTACATATATAAGTTTGATTGAAGACTTGGTTGAAGTTGTACTATAGATAAAATCAACCCAATAATAACAACTACGAAAACAGATAGAAATAGGTCATCATAGGATCTTAAAAAATATGAAAACTCCGAAATTATTTGACAAGGTTTTGTTCACTTTAGAGTTAGGCAAATCTGATTAAAATATTGTAAATACAGAAATTATTACGTGCTTTTATTATTGCGAATTTTAAAGAAGGGACACGAATGAGAGATTTATTATTGAGATTTCAGGAAAACCTGAATACACTTTTAAGTATCAGATATCAGATTGTGAGTTCTTATTATTGCGATTATCACTCATTCGCATTATTCGCATTAATAAAAACCTCGCAATAATTTCTGAATTTACAGTATTGGCGATATTCTTTCTTGAAACAAATGAAATTGAATATTGCTTATGAAATCACAAACATTTGTAAACATTATCTTTTATCATAACTGGATACCTTCATCACTAAAAGAAACTGTTGTTCCTCCCAAAGCACCTAATATGAATATGGATGAAGTATTTTCCACGGGTTCTTTAGAAATCAACAAACAATCTATCGTTGAATCTTATCAGACTTCGCCTTACATTTATTTTTGAATATCATTCCATTTCAGTTCCAGTTGATATTAAATGTAGCTGTCGGCGGGGGATTTTTCTCCTCTGGATGTCAGTATGATCACACGAGACCATGGAGTAACTCGTCTCCAAGGAAAGAAAGAGAATTCTGGGATAATCGTGGAGAATGGTTGCCAACCTGGCATGGTGATAACGCTGCTATGCAAATCGACTACATCGAAATGGTTCAGGCTTAATAATGATTTATGCGTTTTTGCAATAATAAATTTAAATGTGTTTATAACTTTACTTCCTATTCATAACAGGGTTCGTTGGTGTTATTTTGAAAACATTTTCATTTTTGTCACTTGTCGCTATTGTATCATGGTTTAAGTATGTTTTAAATTGCAAGGAGTTTGTTGCTTTGAACTCTGTTTTGGTCATATTAAAAGACCTAAGTCCTTTGACATTTGAATGATGCCATGACTTTTTCTGGTGCCTCCAAGCTTATCGTTTTTTAGAAAACTGATACTGCTTAAATTGTCCTGTTTGCAGAAGTTTTGAGATTGGGAACAGCCTTTCCAACAAACCTTTTCTGGTTTTATTTACCAATCCCCTTTTTTGCTATATCACAACTTATTTTCTATATTAAAAAAAATTGTTCTGAAATATTTAAATGAATCTCAAAATTCTTTTTCCAAATTAAAATATATATACACGAAAAATGATATCAAATAACAAAATATTATTTCTGTTAAAATATATATTGATTAAATGACAGTAGGTGTGTTAACCAGTACATTAAAAATCGTCCTTATCAGGCGAACAGGGACATAAGTACTGTTACTGTTTATAGATAAATACAAACTTATGTAACACTTTGTAAATGTTGTCCTTACGAGTAAATATAAGATATGTATATAAAGTCAGAGGCGCTTTTCTTGATTTATCTTCATCAGAAACGCTCAAAACTAATGAAAACAAACCAATGAAAGCCAAGGATATATGAACAATCGGGAAGTTATATGCTTGTTGGCTCAGAGTCTGGGTAGGAGTGAAATGCCTTCCTGCGGAGTGTTGCCTTGTGAACTGGCATACAAAACATACGACTCATGCGTTCGGTCTAATGAAATACATAGTTCATATTTATATCACATCATCATGTTCTCGTTTCCATATATATCATTTTTTTTCCATATAAGTTTACCCTACTCTGTCCACTCACTATTCCAAGAGTTTCCAGTATATGTCGTTGTGGACATAGGTTTGAATGTCATATTTTTTTCATTCCGTATACATTTTGTTACCCTTATTTTGGTTACTAACACAGTGTCAATTTCATAATATTTTGGTCACAATATCTAGCAGCTCTACCCCCATTGCTTTAGAAGTTTGAGCAACCAAATCCTCCACATACTGCAGAAAAATGCCGTTTTTTCTTCTTCTAAAATCCTGTAAATGAACTCTTTTCAAAGAATTGTTACACAAATTTAGAACATACTTATGTAAACGAGATATTTGTAACGCTTTTACAAAATTCGCTTGTGTTTAGCTTTTGTAACAAAAAAGTAAATGTCTAAAATTTTGACCCAATTTATCTTTATAATAAGCACATGAAAGTATATTTTTATTACATATTATTTAAATTAACTATGTGAACAATAACTTGTATGCAAATTTTTGTTAAACAAATCACCATGGATCAAAACAGTATCGTCTGCCCTTAAGGCTAAATAGCAACTTGCATGTTGGGTTGGCATGGAGTACTCAATGATCAGAATTTTGTTTTAGCAATATATTTTTTTTTCTATGCCTTGAATACAAGAACATATACATGTAGCTTTCATATTCATATGATGAAGACATAATCTTTCAATCAGTTTAATTGAGGTCTGAAGCTGGCATGTCAGTAACTGCTAGTAGTCTGTTGTTATTTATGTATTATTGTCATTTTGTTTATTTTCTTTTGTTTCCTATTCTGACATCGGACACGGACTTCTCTTATACTGAGTTTTACTGTGCGTACTGTTGTGCGTTTGATTTTACTACATTGGCTAGAGGTATAGGGGAGGATTGAGATCTCAAAAAACATGTTTAACCCCGTCGCATTTTTGCGCCTGTCCCAAGTCAGGAACCTCTGGCCTTTATTAGTCTTGTATCATTTTTTAATTTTAGTTTCCTGTGTATAATTTGGAGTTTAGTATGACGTCCATTATCACTGAACCAGTTGTTGGTATGACACGGGTTATGTTCTCCTCATATATGTTATGATGGTATGATACTGAACCCCTAACGGGAAGGATTGTGCCTGATATTCAAATGATGAAGACATAATCTTTCAATCAGTTTAATTGAAGTCTGGAGCTGGCATGTCAGTTAACTGCTATTAGTCTGTTGTTATTTATGTATCATTGTCATTTTGTTTATTTTCTTTGGTTACATCTTCTGACATCAGACTCGGACTTCTCTTGAACTGAATTTTAATGTGCGTATTGTTATGCGTTTACTTTTCTACATTGGCTAGAGGTATAGGGGGAGGGTTGAGATCTCATAAACATGTTTAACCCCGCCGCAATTTTGCGCCTGTCCCAAGTCAGGAGCCTCTAGCCTTTGTTAGTCTTGTATTATTTTTAATTTTAGTTTCTTGTGTACAATTTGGAGTTTAGTATGGCGTTCATTATCACTGAACTGAACTAGTATATATATTTGTTTAGGGGCCAGCTGAAGGACGCCTCCGGGTGCGGGAATTTCTCGCTGCATTGAAGACCTGTTGGTGACCTTCTGCTGTTGTCTGTTCTATGGTCGGGTTGTTGTCTGTTTGACACATTCCCCATTTCCATTCTCAATTTTATAGTAGACATATTTGTTTAGGGGCCAGATGAAGGACGCCTCCGGGTGCGGGAGTTTCTCGCTGCATTGAAGACCCATTGGTGGCCTTCGGCTGTTGTCTGCTCTATGGTCGGGTCGTTGTCTCTTTGACACATTCCCCATTTCCATTCTCAATTTTATTGCTTGAAAAAATTCTAACATTTGCCATTGCAACGCATCAAGGTTGTCGTAATTTGATGGAACATAAGTTCTGTTGATTTTTACCAACAATCAAGTTTCGAGCATTTAATGCTTTCAGTTTGGTATGAAATCTATAATCAGATGATGGCCTCTGGTGGTATTTTCATACTGCATTTGTGTACTTGAAGTTTTTAAATACTCTTTGATTGATCAAAGACCAAAAAAATAGGCAAAGGATACTTGACGGAGACGCATATGAATACGAGACATTTTACATTACCGCATAATCGCATTATTTTGGTTGTCGTCATATTTTAGGTACTTTAGTTGGCGTCTCAAAGCCACGTGACGGTTGCTAAGTATGGCGCAGGAACTGTTTATGCTTCCAGAGAATCTACGTTTGTCGCAGTTTTTTTTTGGTGTGTTTCATGTGGTTTTTCTAATAGTATGTAACTCTTGTTGATTGCAATACTTGTTAAACTGTTGGTCATGGTGATGTTTGATTTTATTGGACTTATGACTTTCGATTTCCCACTCGGTATCCTATTTCTATTTTTTAGAAGAGGATACAGAAATTAAACAATGAACATAAAACATTTATTTACGTAATGAAAAACATGCTGTAAACAACATATAAATCTTATTAGAAATACAATGTGTGTCACAAGATTAAATGCATGTTTACGATTTGACCCAAATTCTCATGTTACATTTATAATTTACTAAATATAAAAGTAAGGAGATGTGGTATGATTGCAAATGAGACAAATATCCAACAAAGTTCAGATGAAGTGGATGTAAGCAATTATAGGCAACCGTACGGACTTCAGCCATGAGAAAAAACCCATACCGTATAGTCGGCTATAAAAGGCCCTGACAAAATATGAAACAATTCAATTGAGAAAACTAACGGCCTATTTCATAACAAAACAATTTACGAAAAACAAATATGACAGACATGAACCAATGACAACCACCGAACTACAGTCTCTTGACTTGGGACAGGCACATAAAGAATGTGATGGGTTTAAACATGCTTGAAGGCGTCAACCCTCCCCTAACCTGGGACAGTGGTGTAACAGTACAACATAAGAGCAAACTATAAAAATCAGTAGAAAATGGCTTAACTCGTCAGATCGATACAAAGCGGAAAACAATCTAATAAAACAGAGACCGGACGTGGCAGGGTATTTATACATTCCTCACAAACAAAAAAGACACAAAAATGTATTCAAAGTAAAAAAAAATCCAAAAGAACGATTTAACAATGCATTGACTCGTTACGTTGTACCGCCATTTCGTGTGTTTCATTTACTGGACGCTATCTAATAAACCACCGAGAGACCTCCGAAGAATGTCAATGATCATATGACCTGATATAAACATAAATATAGATATAAATATGTATAAATACTACGACAAACAAGTGCAATCGTAAACTGACTATTTTTCCAGGTCTGTTTGATTTCATCTAACAGATTAAACAAATATGTAAATCTTCGTCTTACCAGTATAAGAAGGATTTTTTTGGGACCAAATCAGTCAACGAAATGGTTATTCCTGGTGGCTCCTATGTTTCACTTTTCAATGTTGACATTCCTTTCTTTTTTATAACTGGACATGCATAGCATACACGTAACCATACCAGCTATATTTTTAGAGCTTATTTTGCAAACATTGAACCAAAAATTGAAAAACTGACTGCTAATAGCGAAATATTACTTCAAAAAGTCTGCTTTTATAAATGTTTGAATAAAAAAACATCAGATTTTAATTTGTTTGTCAAAATTGTAACTAATACCCCTTTAAGAATCGTCGTTAGTGTTCATTGTTTTGCTTTTCAATGTACAACATAATCATGCGTTACGTTTATGTACGTATTGAACAGTTGACAGTCTTGCATATTATTTAAAAATAAAGCATTATTATTATTATTATTATTAGTTATAGTATTCAAATAAAAATCTGTTTGGCATACACATTTTAATCTGATTAAATGATACACACAAAAAAAAAAAACAACAGAAAACAATTATATTTATTGAACTGATATGTTGGTAAAAAAAGCATCAAAGATGTTTAAAAATCCGTCTTAGTTGGTAACCATATCCATAGACTTTTGCCACAATACTTGGAAGGAACCATGACTGTTGCAAGTTAGTTCAAAATGCGGTCTTTAAAAATAGACGAAACTCATACTGTGTACTGAGCTATGACAGACATGACAAAATGTGAAGCAATTTAAGCCAGAAAACTAACGACATGATTTACGCCCAAATGATAAACCAAATAACCAACCCGACAGACAGCAACTAATAAAAACGAAGTGAAGTTCGTGCTCCTGACTTCGGACAGGAACATAAACAATGTGGTGGATGTATGTGTGTGTGTGTGTGGGGGGGGGGGAGGCGGGAGGGGGGCAGTGTTAAACTTGTTAATGAGTGTTTTTAAGAGAGGTGTTGATCTTAAATTTGTCTAACATTATTTTTCTGGTGCCTCCAAGCTTATCATTTTTAGAAAACTGATACTGCTTAAATTGTCCTGTTTGCAGAAGTTTTGAGATTAGGAACAGTCTTTCCAACAAACCTTTTCTGTTTTTTTTTACCAATCCCCTTTTTGCTATATCACAACTTATTTTCTTTATTAAAACAAAATGTTCTGAAATATTTAAATGAAACTCAAAATTCTTTTTCCAAATTAAAATATATATACGAAAAATGATATCAAATAACAAAATATTATTTCTGTCAAAATATATATTGATTAAAACATTGTATTATCACAGGGTAATAACCCGAAAGATTTGGTAAAAAAAACCACTTAGTCTGATATTAGAGGTTAATCAATTGGGGTAATCTGATTGGTCAGTTAATTGCTGTGATGCTATCTCTGTGTTTGTATCTATATCTGTATGTTACTCAGTGCAGGATCCGATCGCGGATATATGCGCACTGGAAGGAGAGCTCGTTGGTTAGTACAACTGTTGGAGGACAGCCGCGAATCCCTCAACTGTCTTGTGGCATGCGATGTTCTCTTCTAGATGGTTCCACTGCACTATTGTTTTAGGAAAGGAGTTCTTTCGGATGTCTGTTTTGCAGTCTATCAGTTTGAATGGTCTGCTATTCCGGGTTTCTTGTCTTTCTACGATGTTCGTGTATTGGAAAACATTAAAGTTTTTTGCCTTGATTTGGAGTTTGTTTCTGATTTCTTTTAGGTAGTTTGTTGGTTCAATTGCCGGCACCAATCCCTCAACCACTTTGTAGAACATAGTCAGCCTCTGCCTCAGCCGTTCATGCAGAGGGGTAGTTCCAGCTTGGAAAGCATATTTGTAACGCATCCTGTTTCTCTGGATTTGTAGTCGTGCAGGATGAAACGTGCACCTCTTTTCTGTATGCTTTCTATCTTTTCTATTTTCCTGATAGTAAATGGATCCCAAATGACAGCACCGTATTCTAGTACCGATCTAACCATGGCTAATAAGCCTAGTTTTTTGCACTCTTTGGGGCACTGGCATAGGTTTCTTCTCAGGAAACCTAGTGTACAGCTTGCCTTGCTTGTGATTTTCCCTATGTGGCTGGTCCACTTTAGGTCATCGGATATATTAAGACCTAGGTACGGATTTGTTTGGACTTTTTGTGAAAAGCTCATTATATAACATTTTTTTGCATTAAATTTCATTCCCCAATTTAATGCCCATACTTCCAGAGCTTTCAGATCTTCTTGGAGAATTTGATGGTCTTTCGTGGTGTTGATTTCTCGATAGAGTAGGCAGTCTTTGTAGCTTCCAGTTTGTTTTGCATGAAGGTTTGCCAGGTTTTGTCTATTGACATTTCATTTATATGATTACAGATGTCCTTTGTTATTATATTTATGTCAGTTTTTATCTGATCCCAATTTGCTCTTCAAAAAGATGTATGGTTTTTATGGGCGTTGCTTACAGTAGTATGGTTTTCTTAACGAGTCTGTAATGACGATATTATGGTCTGAAATTCCTGGTGCATTGTCAGTTGATTTGATAAGGGACGGGTTGTTTGTGAATACCAGATCCAACAGATTTCCCTCTCTTGCTGGTTTGTCGTGAATTTGGACAAGGCCGTGTTAAATAGATAGGTCCATTAGTGCTTGTTGTACTTCTTTATCTCGAGCACCTGTTTTTATTTCCATATTTATCCAGTCAATGTCTGGGCAGTTGAAATCACCAGCGATAATAATGTGTTTAGGTTTTCCTGTTGTTATCTTTTCTAATGAAAGTTTCAGATTTGTTAGGTCTTTCATATTTCTATGAGGCATGTAATATGATGCGATGTAGAGGTCTATGGTGTTTTTCAATTTAACTTTGGACCATTCGATTTCGCAGTCTGTGACGGGTTCAATGAGTTCAATTGAAATGAGATCTGCATGTATTCCTAAGAATACTACACCCCCGAGAGTGCCTCTGTCATTTCTGTAGATTTTAAAGTTTTCAAGGAAGACCTCAGATGATTTTATTGCATCTTTCTTCATTGGCTTCCCTGGTTTTATTCCTTTGAGCCAAGATTCAGTACCACATATGATGTCTGGTTTGATGTAGTTTATGGAAGCAGATAGTTCAGCTTTTTTGATACTGCGGCAGTTTACCGTCATTATACGTAGGGTTACCATCAAATAGCTATGTATACCAATACCAATATGTCTATATGAATAAAAAAATCATTTTAGGTAGGTCTATTGCTTTTGTTTATGGTGTTGGACACTCTTTTCGTATTTTCGATTCTATGTTAAATTTGTCAATTATTGAATGTTTATTACGCCAGAGTGACACCAATAAGACATTTTCCCACTAATGTGACCAAATTGTTATCTTTTTCTACAACGTAAATCAAAAGAGTAAAGTTTTAAACTATTATGACGATTTATGAGGACAAATAACGCTACTGATTACATATAATTCTACCCTTTCCTTGATTGTTACATTTTCTTAAATGTGGTCCACCAAGCGTGAAAAGGTTAAGCCTTAAACTATTCATCAAGTTAAAACTTTATCAGTTTAAAAAGTCACAGTTTTTGTCTTAGAGTTAGCACCAGTTTCGACCTGTTTTGTAACATGGTATCGTTCACAGTTTCTTATCAACAGACCGTTAGTATAAATCTAATGATATCAGGGCCGTTCATTACATGAGATCATGAAGGACTCGGTGTTGGGTCTATTATTCGCTTTGGCTATAACATATGCCTTAGAACCTGAGGTTATTTTAGAAGAGCCAAATGGAGTAAGGCTAAGACTGAAAGGTAAATGGTTGAATTTGTCTATTAACGTGTTGGCTTCAACATATGTATTATTCGCTTTGGCTATAACATATGCCTTAGAACCTGGGTTTATTTTAAAGAAATCAAATGGATTAAGGCTAAGACTGAAAAGTAAAGGGTTGTAATTTTATCATAATGGATATTTTGATATACATATAGATTCTACCACTGCATCGAGTGTGATACGATATTTATCCACTCGAGACAATTAAATTTTCAAATTTAAAACGAGAGGCTCGCCGAGCGTTTTAAATATTTAAAATTTAACTGCCGAGAGTGGATAAATATCGTATTACACGAGATTTGGTGGTGGAATCTGTTTCTCTAATGATTTTCAAACAATACGCAGGCAAATTTATTCCTTCTTTTCGAATGATCTGCAAAAAATTGTGTTCTTTCTATGTGACGTCATCAGGCATGGTCGCCTTTTTTCATGCCGTCACAATAGGAAATTCAGAGGAAAGCAAGAAAATTCGACGTCATAATCGGATTTTAACCAATGAAGAACTGAGATCAAACGAACCACACGTTGATTAAATTTTTTTTATACAATGGGTGCAGAAAGGGATAAATTGACGAAGAATTAGAGAAATTGTATTCCATAAGGACACCGTCTGCCTAAATTTAATAGCGAGTGTTACGATAATTGTTATAACTAAATGAATCAACTGAACAGTATTATATCAGTGTGTACATGCATATTATGAAACGTAAACTAAAGTTGCAACCCAGGCCACGTGCACTTTAAACTTATTGGGTTCTATCTAAGATTGAAACACAGGCCACGTTTACTTCAATCTGATTGGGTTCATTCTAAGATTGCCACAAAGGCAACATTTACTTAAATCGGATTTGGTTCTATCTAAGGTTGAAAACAAGGCCACGTGTACTGTATTCAGATTTGGGTTCCATCTCAAAGTTGAAACACAGGCCACGTTTACTGCAATCAGATTTGGTTCTATCTTAGGTTGAACCCCAGGTAACGTAAGCTTTATTCTGATAGGCTTCTTTCAGTTCCCTTTGGTACGATGGCATCATTTGCACCGAGCTTACGTAATGGAGATTATTCCAGAAACTCTTGTGCTAAGATTTACGTTTGAATTACAAGTCAACTTTTTGCAAGAGAAATCAATGTGATTATACCTACAATACTAGAAAACACCGGCAACTATCGCGGACATGTAAATTAGATTAAAGTGTTATTTTTCTTTCTTTCAAAATTCACATTGTCAACTGATAAAATGCATTGATTGATTACTTCTGTGTAAACAGAAAAGGGAAATATTTTGTCAAATCAATTTATTTTTTCCGTTCGTCACTCACTAAATTTCGCTAATTTAAAGAAAATGAATCTTTTAAAATTGTATGTGTGATGTGTTGTTGTTTGAAATACCTCGTCGGTTTTTGGATCAATCAAGATTCATTAAGGTTCTTTGTGGTGTTCTGTTGTTTGAATCTATCATATTTATATATATTATATATATACCGGTCGGGTGAAGGATTGAAGTAATAAATAAGCAAATTAATACAGTCAACTTTAATGTTAACATATTCAAGTTCATCCTTGAACTTATCATCACAGGTATGTCTGTATGTATGTGTCTTATCTCATTATATCAGAACTAATTATTACCAATGTATGTCAACTAGACAATGGCTTCCAACATACATGAAGTTAAAGTTTAAGAAGAAAAGGATACAACAAAAAGTGCACGATTGTAAAACTACACATCAAATAAATTTTAGAAAAGTTTATTCTTTTGAAATATAGGGACCATGCATATCCATAAATTTTAGCATGGTTATATTAGATTTTTTTACAATTTGTTTCCGAGACAAAGCATGTCAAACATTTGAAACGAAAAGGCAGGACTAAAGTTAAATAAATTTTGTTTGATAAAACAGTTTGTTTGTTTTAAATACTGCGAGAAGATTTTCCAACATATATATCCGCATGCCTTTTGTTACATTTTACCGCTGATTGTTGAGTTTCAATTTTTGTTAAGGTTAATAAACAAGCTGAAACTACAATATAAAATAGAAGGTGGTAAATGATAGTCTAATTAGCAATTATTCATTGCATCATATTTCAAATTTTGTTTGATATGTTTACTGCCTTTGCTCGCCTATCCTCTACACATTTGTTACTTTTCTATTTACATGTACCATACTGAATTTGATTGTCAATCCCTCTACATTTTTGTTACTTTTCTATTTATCATACTGCATTGAATGCCAATCCCTCTACATGTTTGTTACTTTTCTACTTATCATACTGCATTTGATTGCCAATCCCTCTACATATTTGTTACTTTTCTACTTATCATACTGCATTTGATTGCCAATCCCTCTACATATTTGTTACTTTTCTATTTATCATACTGCATTTGATTGCCAATCCCTCTACATATTTGTTACTTTTCTATTTATCGTACTGCATTTGATTGCCAATCTCTCTACATATTTGTTACTTTTCTATTTATCGTACTGCATTTGATTGCCAATCCCTCTACATATTTGTTACTTTTCTATTTATCATACTGCATTTGATTGCCAATCCCTCTACATATTTGTTTCTTTTCTATTTATCATACTGCATTTGATTGCCAATCCCTCTACATATTTGTTACTTTTCTATTTATCATACTGCATTTGATTGCCAATCCCTCTACATATTTGTTTCTTTTCTATTTATCATACTGCATTTGATTGCCAATCCCTCTACATATTTGTTACTTTTCTATTTTTCATACTGCATTGATTGCCAATCCCTCTACATATTTGTTACTTTTCAATTTATCATACTGCATTTGATTGCCAATCCCTCTACATATTTGTTACTTTTCTATTTATCATACTGCATTTGATTGCCAATCCCTCTACATATTTGTTACTTTTCTATTTATCATACTGCATTTGATTGCCAATCCCTCTACATATTTGTTACTTTTCTATTTATCATACTGCATTGATTGCCAATCCCTCTACATGTTTGTTACTTTTCTATTTATCGTACTGCATTTGATTGCCAATCCCTCTACATATTTGTTACTTTTCTATTTATCATACTGCATTTGATTGCCAATCCCTCTACATATTTGTTACTTTTCTATTTATCATACTGCATTTTTGTGCCTATCCCTCTACATATGTGTTACTTTTCTATTTATCATACTGCATTTGTTTGCTTCTCCCTCTAAACAATTGTTGATTTTTTTTTTATTTATCATACTGCCTTATTCGTCTACCCCTCCACACATATGTTACTGTTCTATTTATCATAGTGCCTTTGCTCGCCTATCCCTCTACACATTTGTCCCTTTTCTGTTGTCCATTCTACATTTACTCGCTTATCTTTCTACATATGTTTTAGTTTTCGTTTGATCACACTGTATTTGCTTGTCTGTCTGCACACTTTCGTTACATTTATTTATTCGTACATATGGCGTATTTTTCGATATATAATCTGATTAGTGTTTATGTTTTTGATTTCAGATGAGCCATCGCTTTTAGGAGTAAAGTTCGAGGTACAACCAGATGGACAAAAGCTTTACAAAGAGTTCATAGAACACACATGTGAGTGTTACGTGTATTATTTAGTATGTCTACAACTGTCATTGGACATCTTGGATGAATCAACCACGTTTTTTTTTTATATTTCTTCATTGACATAATACATACAAAGAATGTTAATACGTGTGATATGTGTGAATAGGTCATGTCCTAATATTGATTTGATTTTTAAATTCATAGCTAATTTTGCTTCTCTTCCAATTCTTAATCAACCATGTGTAGCTCAGATTTGGAAAAACATAACAAATTTAAATAGATAAAACCATTATACAAAAAAGTCATGTACAGGTATTCAAAGGAATAGAATTGGAATCTATCATGCAAGTTCAGAAATCACAAGCAGCATATATCAAACAAAACAATTGTCATGATGGTCCACAACCAAACAAAACAATTGTCATGATGGTCCACAACCAAACAAAAAATGTAGCTAGGATCTGTTAAAAAACTATGATTAGTAAATGTATTTAAAGAAAATAAAGATTGTATAACATTAACGGTACACATTTTACTGCACCAGATAAATCCAAAACTTATTCAAAGATTGAAAAGCTGATAAAACCAGAAATGGACAAAAAGTATAGCTAATGCCGGGTAAAACAAACAAAAGAAAATACTGGACACAAAGAAGTGACACCACGACAGTTATTTATTTTAAGAAAATTAGGTTCAAAACTGCCACCAATTAAATCTCATTTTATCCAATGAAGTGGAAAAACGCTAATCACGATCATATTATATTTACTACAGTGGATGGAGCATGGGAGTTTCATATACCGGAAGTTAAAGTAGCTCCAGGGGGAAAACTAAGGTACAGACTAACTGCTTATTACGAGGATAACATGAAAGAAACAGAATGGATGACACGTGAGTATATAACATAAATATCATAAACTAAGTGGAACTGTTTTGTGGACTAAAACTTGTGCCTCTTCTTCATCTACAGAACTCTCAACAAACTCATTGCATACGGAAAAGGTATTGTTATGTTTATTTAGAATATAAATGGATAATAGATCGGAAACTGAATAGCTTTCAACATATTAAACAATTTATGATATGAGAGAGCCGGGCATGACCCACCCAAGGAAAAAATATATCCTGCACTGTAAAGGCCATATCATGAAGTAAAAATATATACGGTTAAGTGGTTAGGGTCTTAATAGTTTTCAAGAAATATGAATATGAATTTTATGAAAGGGAGGGGCAGGGTATAACCCCAGAGGTAAAACCCATTGGTGCACTGAAAAGATCAAGTAGTTGAGGTAAATGTCAAAATCAGATGTCATTGTGATGGTACACGACACATCTTTGTGATCACTTATGTTTTAATTATCTAAAACATATTTCAAAGTAAAAACATTGATATGTTGTAAACGAAACAGTCTCCCCAAAAATCCGCTATTTTGACCCTGATCTCAAAGTTCTGAGGTGATATTAAATAGATGCTCAAGAAACAGTGCCGAGCATTTGTAGATACGTTATTATACAGAAGGACTTTGTTTTACTGGTTTTCCTGTCAACAGTTTCGATATATTTTAGAATGAAATATTTTTCCAAATTGATAAACTATTTGTACATCGTTTATCAAAATTTTGTAATTCCTCTGATAAAGAAATAAATAATGGGATGTTTGATTGTTCTAAACATACCCCGCCACGTGCTTATGTTTGTGCCTGTTTCTAGTCAAGAACGTCTCAAGTTATTTTAACGTGTTTTTTTTTCGTTTAGGGAATTTGGTATTGATGGCATAAACTTTGATTGTTAAAAGTATTAACAACGTTTAGACAGGTTGGGTTAGTGATTAACATATCGTACCTACTCATTGACGCATAACCCGACATTTCCGTTTATTCTTATCATATTACATTTAGCCACCATTGATCAGATGAAATATTATATTTAATGTTTCAGATGAAGTAGAGAATTTAAGACCTGTAAGAAGTATGAAGAGAGCCGTTGTATTTAGAGATGACTACAACAAAGACACCTTTGATCATAGTAAATACAGTATTGAGTGTTCAGCATGGGGAGGTGGAGTAAGTATATGTTACCAAGAATTATGTAACTATAATTATAATCCTTTATAAAGACGTAGTGATAGATTCCCCTGAATATGCTTTACTCACATGGTCTTATTCTGAAAGAAGATTGCCCCATATTTTGAATATCAATGAGCCTAAATAATAAACTTTTAAGCAATTTTTCCAATTGTTTTAGGATACAAAATCCATAAAGTTTAAATGCTACATGTATTCAGCGCTCTGAATTGCTGATGACGTACGTTTTGATATGAAATTGGAAATTTTACATGTTTTTTAATTGAGGTCTGGAGCTGGCATGTCAGTAACTGCTAGTATTACTTTGTTAATTTATGTTGATCATTGGCATTTTGGTTAGTTTTTTCTGTTACCTATTCTAAAATCGGACTCGGACTTCTTTTTATCTTAGTTTCAGTGTGCGTAGTGCTGTGTGTTTGTTTATTCCACATTGGCTAGAGGTATAGGAGAGGGTTGATATCTCACAAAGCATGTTTAACCCCGCTCATGTTTGCGCCTGTCCAAAATCAGGAACCTCTGGCCTTTGTTAGTCTTGTATGTTTTTTAGTTTTGGTACATTTATATGTTTCGGAGTTTAGTATGGCGTCCATTTGGTGGCCTTGGGCTGTTTTTTGCTCTTTCGTCTCTTTGACATATTCCCCGTTTCTATGCTCAATTTTTTGGGTAAAATTTTGCATCATAGGACAGCCCAAAATGATACAATTCGATTCTTTTGATGGTGGATAATTATTCCCCGAGGATATCATCACCACAGTTGTCAGTCCCTTATAATGATACAGCTCTTCCCGTGTTCCGGTACTTATGCATGCGTGGCTTTCAAATGTTCGGCTTTGAGTGATCCAGAAAAGAGCTTCGGACGCATACAATTTATAAAGTATTATTTTCATTTTTTGCTCCTGAAAAACAATACACAGTTTTACCTAGTTTATCTAATTTTTGTGTTATCAAGAATAACCTTATTAAATTTTGGATATACATAATTTGCCAAAATCATTAAATGATGCAATATAGGACATCTTTAAGCATTCATACATGGTTAAATATATAAAAATACGTCATAATGTTATTATAAACTTTATTTACACACATTAAGCTGTTACACTGCAAAATTTAGAAAAGATTGGAAGTCTTTTAGAAAGTGACTCTTGTGTGAAATAAAATCAGAGAAAATGGGCCTACCTCTACCTAATTGATTTTAAAGCACTAGCTTGAGACAGAAATTAAATAATCCTTGTTACTTAGAAGCTTATAAAATATTGAAAATGGCTGTCACAAAAGCGTACCAGTGATTTTTTACAGTTATGTTCATCGCCCTCGGTCTTCCTCCTCGAGAAAAAGTAATTCTAATCACGTGGCAAATATCCTTATGTTTTCTATATTTAAACTGAACACACGACAGAAAGTAATCTTTGTTGTTATATGGATGACGTGATTTTTATGAATTTCCCATTGTGATGAATTCCAATAATCTCACATGTGAAATAACTCGTTTATTTTCACTTTCTAGACTTTTCCCGCTTTAACCAGACGTTCATTTGAGATTTCCAACTGAATATTTGTGACTTGACTATTAAAACTAATTGAATAAGTGTGTCACATATCAACAGTTAAAAGTCCGGGTGATTTTAAAACAACTTCTTGCTTCACAATAATTGCAAAATCTGCTTCAATCTTCTCGAAGTTTCGATTTGCCATTTTGACAACTGTGTGCAATACACATACATGTATATTCATACGATAGGACAATTATTTCATTATGAAAAAGTGTCCTTGTCCATTAAATGTTGTCCCTCCTTCTGGACAATATTTCACTATGATATTCTGTCCATGACAATCTTTCTTAATCTAATAATGTCTTCCCTGAGAAATCCTTTGCCATAAAATTGTGAGCATTTCTGGAATTTCTTGAAATATAGTTCATGAACAGTATGTGTATAACCATAAATTGCTGCATAAATTAATTATGCAGGTTTTTTTGTTATTATCAATCAAATAAAACACTTTAATCATATCATTATTCAAAATACTAAATGTTTATAACCTCCCTTTCATGGGACAAAATTTCATGACAATCCATCTATGATATATTGTCTCAATATACACAATATACATGTATAACCTTGGATAACCTCCCTTTAACAAGGCAACATTTCATACTATCCATCTCTGAAATATTGTCTGTATGTGGACAAAATTTCATATGGAAATTTGTCCTTTTCTGGACATTATTTCATAGATGTGGACAAACTTTCATGATACAAAGTCACGAAATATTGTCCTGGGGGGAAATACAGGCGAATACAAGTATCAATACATTTTTTGGAGAACACATATCCTTCATCAGTATGGTGTAAAATGAATCATATCAATCTGTTCTGATTTTAGTAAAACAACCTTGAACGTAATACAAATTAAAAACCGAACCACGATTGTATAATTGGAAAAAAAGGAAGTACATTAAGACCCGGATTTGGCCCAAAAAAATAATAAAGTTTTTGAAAAATATTTCAACTTTGCACTTATTGTTTGGAAGTGCATAAAATCGAAAATATATAAATGAATAACATAAGATGCTTGATGTTATGACGTACCAATTACTTCATAATATGAACCGTCTTCATGAAAACAATGAAAACTGCAGAATTTATGCAGTTTTCCATGGTTATTTCCATTGTCCAAACATCATGCAAAGCCAAGAAACAACAAAATCATTTAAGAGAAGCTTTATTTTATCTATTGATATATTCTCACCAAATATAAAGTTGTTTCTTGGGTTCGCCAATACTTTTCCAATTTAATATATACTTAAAAAATGATGTAAATCAAGGAAAATCAAGTATATTTTACAAAATATACAAATGTTGTCATGGTTTGTTGCCATAGTAACTCGTTAAATGTGATTTTTTTCTGAACACCTTGTACTTTAGTGTAGTCAGAAAAAAATTAAGAATATGCATGGTAACTTTTCAATTTGCACTAATATTTGGGCAATATAAGGGCCCTATTGCCCTTACTCCTTTCAAAGTTCACGTAGTTTAAGTATTATCTTCATATGCAAGTAAAAAAGAATTCTATAAAACATCTTTTGTATAGCATATTTCATTGTTCACCTTATAATAATTATTTATGTTGTGTGGTCAAATACGTTTACTTGTAGGTATACACATTTTGTTTCCTTTTCAGAATAACGAATTTCAAATATACACAAATCAGGCTAAGAACCTTTTTACCAGAGGAGGTCACCTCTACATCAAACCGGTATGTTATCATAACAATTATTTGTAGTCATAACATTAACATACACAAAGATTGTTACCGATCGGATATATCTAAATCTATGACAGTTAACGTCATCAGTAATACTAGTACTGTCGGCGTAGTACAAATCTCTGAAAGTTTGTTAAGCTCGTAAAATCATTGGAGAAGAAAAACTGTATCAATGCTTAGAAGGAACTTCGTCAGAGCTTTCCTTATCTATAATTAACCTCCATAATCATGGATGAAAGAAAACAAAAACAAGATGTCACATTGTTGGGAGTCCAAATATAAGACAGTGCAATGCAGGTTCTACATGGGTGCTACCTACATATAGTTCTGCTGGAGAAGTCAATTTACAGCACTTTAAATCGAAGCCTGGAAACCATTCCGGAACACAAGAATTCACCCCCGTTTTATTTTCGGTTCAAGTTGCCCAATGATCAGTTTTTTGTGTAGTGTTTTATAGATTGTCTTTTCAGTCATTTGTTTTCTTTTTTACACTTCATTCGACTGTTCCGAACTTTTTTTCGAGTAAGCAGCGAATAAACTTGTTCAGTTTAAAAATTATAATATATAAAAATCCATTGTTTTATTTTACCTGTAACAAACAAGGACACTGAGACACGTGTTAAATCTTACCGTGCATGATTAATGACTATAAGTACAATGTTATGATTGTGTATTCCAGACTTTAACTGTTATTATTGTATATTCCAGACCTTAATTGTTATGATTGTGTATTCCAGATTTTAACTGTTATGATTGTGTATTCCAAACCTTAACTGTTATGATTGTGTATTCCAACTGTTATGATTATGTATTCCAGACTTTAACTGTTATGATTTTGTATTCTAGACCTTAGCTGTTATGGTTGTGTATTCCAGACCTTAACTCAGATTAGGGGAAGGTTTGGTACCATTAAAACGTTTAACCCGCTGCAATTGTTTGCACCTGTCCTAAGTCAGGAATCTGATGTTCAGTAGTTGTCGTTTGTTGATGTGGTTCATAAGTGTTTCTCGTTTCTCGTTTTTTATATAGATTAGACCGTTGGTTTTCCCGTTTGAATGGTTTTACACTTGTTATATTTGGGGCCCTTTATAGCTTGCTGTTCGGTGTGAGCCAAGGCTCCGCGTTGAAGTCCGTACTTTGACCTATAATGGTTTACATTTTTAAATTTTTTTTTGACTTGGATTGGGAGTTGTCTCATTGGCACTCATACCACATCTTCTTATATCTCTTAACTGTTATGATTGTGTATTCCAGACTTTAACTGTTATGACTGTGTATTCCAGACTTAACTGTTCTGATTGTGTATCCCAGACTTAACTGTTCTGATTGTGTATTCCAGACTTTACTGTTATGACTGTGTATTCCAGACTTTACTGTTATGACTGTGTATTCCAGACTTAACTGTTCTGATTGTGTATTCCAGACTTAACTGTTATGATTGTGTATCCCAGACTTAACTGTTCTGATTGTGTATTCCAGACTTTACTGTTATGACTGTGTATTCCAGACTTAACTGTTCTGATTGTGTATTCCAGACTTAACTGTTATGATTGTGTATCCCAGACTTAACTGTTCTGATTGTGTATTCCAGACTTTACTGTTATGACTGTGTATTCCAGACTTAACTGTTCTGATTGTGTATCCCAGACTTAACTGTTATGATTGTGTATCCCAGACTTAACTGTTATGATTGTGTATTCCAGACTTTACTGTTATGATTGTGTATTCCAGACTTAACTGTTCTGATTGTGTATTCCAGACTTAACTGTTATGATTGTGTATCCCAGACTTAACTGTTACGATTGTGTATTCCAGACTTAACTGTTATGATTGTGTATTCCAGACTTTACTGTTATGACTGTGTATCCCAGACTTAACTGTTATGATTTTGTATTCCAGACTTTAACAATAGATGATCCTAAGTACGACTCCCACAGACTACATTATGGGCGTATGGTAGCGAAAGGTAAGTTTGCATTTTAAGAAACTAAGGTTTCAACTCCCTCAGGCAAAGTTGACCTTAGACGGATTTGGCTATTTTTTTAGGTATTTTTTTGTCATATAGCTCTTCAACTCTTTCGGTTCTTATACATCCTCGGCTTTCAAATATTCGGCTTTGAGCGTCCCTGATGGAAGGTAAATCCAGAAAAGCACTTCGGACGCATGAAATTATCTAACGTGTTGTTTTCATCTTTTAAAATTAGCTTTTAATTTATGTTATTCAAACCAGGACGTGTAACACATGGAGTTATTGAATAACAAATGTAATCATAAAAACTCAGCGAATACTCTAAAAAAATCAATGTCAATATATACTTGCTAAGTTTGTTAGAAATCTTTTCACTCGAATTTTTTCGTTTTTCGTTGTACACATATAACTGGAGTCATTAAGATGCATCTGTTGTTTTCCTCGATACATGTAACAGCCTAGTCCATTGACACCACAGTGTGTTATTTAACACATAACTAGAATCATTAAAGAGCATCCGTTGTGTCTTAGATATAACAGCATATTTCATTGATACCAAGGTCTATCATTTAACACACTGCTGGCGTCATTACTCTCTTGTTCTACTAGATAACGGCCTAGCTTATGCTGACACCACAGTCTGAATCATATGGAAATGTTTATTCTAACTCTGTTTTTACAGACGACGTTAGTTTTTATATTTGTTTGCAGAATTGTGTGGATATTGCAGCCAATCCACTAACTGGGGATGTGACAAATCGGCTGTTAATGGCAACGTCTTAAATCCAATTATGTCTGGAAAAGTTACAACGCATGCGTCCATTAGATACGGAACTGTCACTGTTAGAGCAAAGATTCCTAGGGGAGACTGGATTTGGCCAGGTGAAAATATATCTTTCTCTCTAAAATCGCAATTTAAAAATTTTTAAAAGTAGGGTTTACTTTCTATAAATTTACTTTATAGATTATTCTAACTACAATATTTGTGCAGTTCTGTTTTTCATAAATTTCAAGATTTCCAACATGATAACATTTATGTTGAGACCTTAAACTAAAGAAACCTAAACCGAGATTGAAATGATTGATTGATATTTTTTCTTTTAATTTTCAGTGGCAAATATTTCATGCATTATTAGAATGATAACAAATTACACAATACACAGATAAATATGTACGATAAAGTTAGATCGACCGGGTTGAAGGACTTGATACTTATACTGCCACTGGTATATATAATATGAACAATTATCTTGCCTCCGAAAAGCTTGTAGCAAAATATATTTTGGTAATTCCGCTCATATCTAAATATTAACAACAATACATCAAAATGAGGTAATTTTGACAGTTTTTGAAGTTTTTCATAAGATACAAGAAATTTAAAGCCCTAAATCATGTTAAGTTATACAAAAGTCACAAACCAAATTACTGTTTTCTGATTGATATATGTCTTGTGAACATCAAAATTCTGAACCATGTTACAAACTCACAGATTTGATATATTTGTTTTTGATTTTCGAAAGTAAAGGGACGAAAAAGAGGACATAGTATGCTACTCCGAAAACCTTGCAACTGCCCATCTACCTTCCCCTAAATCAGTTGTTGAAGAAGATTTTTTCAACAGTCTTCCGATTAGGAGCGGAACGTGACTTCGTATTCAAACCTCCACAAAACAAAATGGCCGTCCTCTCTGCATGTGTCTTTCTGCAGAACTGGAGATGTACATGTGACCATAATTGTACACCCCAGTCACTCGTGTAGCCTAGAAGTATTACGAGCTATATAACAGAATACTTTGTTGTTTGATATTTGTATCTTTATATGTCGGTCTTGTTGACGAATACTAGTACCCTATATATGATGAGGTATGATTACCAATGAGACAACTATCCACCAAAGTTCAAATAAAGTAGATGCAAGTAATTATAGGCAACCGTACGGCCTTCAAAATGAGAAAAAAACCATACCGTATAGACGGCTATAAAAGGTCCCGACATGAAAATTATGAAATAATTCAATTGAGAAAAACTAACGGCCTAATTTATAACAAATCAATTAACGAAAAATAAATATGACAGACATGAACCAACGACAACCACTGACCTACAGGCTCCTGACTTGGGACAGGCACATAAAGAATGTGGCGGGGTTTAACATGTTTGAGAGCGCTCAACCCTCCCCTAACCTGGAACAGTGATGTAACAGCACAACATAAGAATAAACTATAAAAATCAGTTGAAAAAGGCTTAACTCATCAGATCGATACAAAGAAGAAAAACATCAAACGTAAACACAGACCGGACGAAGCAGGGGTATTTATCCATCCCTCATCCCTAACAACAAAAAGTACACTAAGTACAGATCTGAGAGTACTCGCAGTTACTATCAGCTAGTTAAAAGCCAGTAATAACTAATAAAAAAATCATGTATCTAAGACTAAAATATCCATCAGTACACATCTTACATACAATGAATTTAGTGTAAAGACGTCATTAACAGTCAGAGAAAAACATGGCCTTGTGCAATGCCAAAATGAAGGCATCGACAGACTGAAGTACCGTTAAAGTGCATATGTGTATAACAAAACTATTCACTAGTATGATTTTAATTTACTGATAAAAGATCAATATTTATACCAATAAAAACAATATTCAAAGATCTAATTACAGTGTTGAATTGGTAACCTTTTAGAATAAGTTTATTTAAAGGATTGATAAGTTTACCCGGATCGTATATAAATTTCCGGGCTCGGTAAACAACATCACCGTAAAATTTAGGATGTGCTTTTCCGTCTGAAATAAGTTTTTACAGGAACAGCCAAACTTGCAAACCAAATCTTCGTATCTGTGGAAGAATTAAGCTACGAGATATAAAAAAATTAAAATATGATTTTTTTTTTTATTCAATCATTAATGAAAGTGAAATAGTGAAATAATAATTCGCTTTTAGCAGCCAGTTTAGTTCAATTTTGTCAAAATAAGCTAAGAAACATCGCTGATGAATTATTCACTTGTAAGTGAATAACTCGACCTCATTGAATCCGTATTCATGTGACCTTCAATTTAACCCATTAACTAGAGATTGGTTACGCATGTATTAGTCGTGTTCAGACATTAAAGGGAAAAGAATGTCAACATTGAAAGTGAAACAAAGGTAAACCATTTCGTTGACTTATTCGATCCACAAAAAAATATTCTTATACAGGTAAAAACGATGATTAACTTATTTTTTTAACCTATATCATGAAATCAAACAGACCTAGAAAAGTCCAATTGCACGAGGTCGCTATCTATTTCTATTTACGTTTATGTTTATATCGGGATATGTGGCCGTCGGCAGTCTTCGGAGGTCATCTCGATGGTTAATTAGATGGCGTCTAGACTAAAATACACACGAAATGTTGATATATTATTATGTAGTCCATGCATTGTTAATTGTTTATTTCAGACGTATTGTAATTTGGTTATACGTTTTAGTATGTTATAAATAAAAATGAGAATTTGAGTCAAATCGGTGAACATGAATTTTACAGCTAATGCCCTTTTAAGTAATGTGTGGTAACGAAATCCCTGACTTAATAATGTACCAGTAATACATAGAATTCGTTTAGATCACATCGCTTACTACATTCTAGTCTCTATCATCATACATCATGAATAATCATTATACTTGTGGTTATTATAGTATATCTGTTTTAACAGCAATATGGATGTTGCCAAAGGATTGGCATTACGGTGGTTGGCCTCGTTCTGGTGAAATTGATTTAATGGAAGCACGTTGTAAGTATCGATGATCATATAAACAAATTATTCTTATTTGACGAAAATTAAGGAATATTATTATACTTTATGCAAATTTCTTATATTATCCATTCATTTCATTTGACACGTGGCATTTGTTAGTTTTCACTAACCTTTCATAAGCCCCGCCCACCCATAGCAACATATGATAATATTAGCAACGGGTGCTAATGCCTAAAAATAACACCCGATGAGCCCGAAGTTTGCCGATTCGGAACAATTAACACCCGCTTCGGCCGAGGTTTACCGATTCTTATTTCTACATCATTTTCGTCATTTTGTTGTTGTTATTAGTAAACACTCTTAATATTTGACTTTATTTTTTTTAAATTGTCTTTCTAATAACATAGTGCACATTTGAATCATAAGGCAGTAATTCATACTGCCCTTGGATGAAGGTGTTAGGGTGATTAACACACTCGATGAAAAAATTATCACCCGTGACTTCGTCTTGGGTGATAATTTTTTCCCTCGTGTGTTAATCTACTCTAACACCTTCATCCAAGGGCAGTATGCTTATATAATAAATGTACCATTCAGAAAATATTTTTACCAGCTTATGTGAAGCAGATGCTACGCGATGACCCCCAAAAGGTTATTGGTTTTAAATAAGTGTATTTTGCATGTTTGTTTAACTTGCCGCAATATCATTGGACTCGTCGAGTACTCAACTCTATACTTTAATAATTTAATTCTAGATGTAACACGTCTTCTGATTGGCTGAAAGTTTGTTGTTTATCAGCTCATAGACATAATTTTGTCATGTGACCGTGACGTCATCAACGTTTTTCCATGATTTACTCCTTAAAAATGGAAATTAGAATTAAATTATAAGGAATGACTGTAATATTTTTTCTGTCTATTCGAAATAACCTGAAAAATGTGGTGCACACTTTTAAATAACCCGCTACGCGAGTTATTCAGTGTGCACTACATTTTTTTCATGTTATTTCTCCATAGACAGAAAAAATATTACAGTCATTCCTTAAATATATTATTAATAAATGATTAACGGTCACATCAATTATTATTATACAGCAAGTGTGATTTAAGAACAGTAAATCTGCAAAAAACAAATTAAATTGTATTATTGATTTTTTAACGTTTCTCACACCACATCAAGTGACACATAGTTATATCACCGCCGTGTTGATTAAGGTTTTTCCCGGTCATTATAGTTTCAGACCACATTTGGTCTTTGTACTATTTCAACTCACTTCAGAATCTTATAACTTATTGCGTTGTCAGCTTATCGAATCTTTTTTCAAAAACTTGAGACTGAAGTAACTCTGCACGCAAACTTGATTGATAAAAAGCTGCTCCCGTTAGCACTTAAGGCAAATTATGGTTCGTGATTGACAGAAAGAAACACGATATGATTTGCAGAAGATCTACCGAATCATGTTTTATTCCAGTGACGAAAATTTTAAACAAAAACACAACATTAAAAATAACTGGTTATCAGTTTTAAACGTTAATCATTTAAGATCAAAGCTTGTCATTTCTAATATACATGTATGAAAAAGCCAGGACTAATGCATATACATTAATCCGAGGAAACGGTGACATTTTATTTCAATTTTTCCTAAGTGTAATTCGTTACGTCAAGAAAAGATTATAGTGTATGTCATTATTAAAAATTAAATCTACCAATCAGAAAGATCTACACACAAAAAAAAACTGTTGCAGAGGTTGGCGATCGAGAAGCTCATGTTTATCGATTTATAGATCAAATTCTGGCATTTTAACGCGAAGTATAATCAATTATTTTATCGTCAATTTGTACGTTTTTCTTTTGATTTTACTGCCTAATGTTTTTAAGATTATGGACAGGACTTGACATTCGAAAACATTAGGCAATGACGTCATGTATCAGTGCAGCAACTTCACGTGCTCAAATTCATCCGCGTCAATTTAGCAATGAAATGCACGCTACTTCATTCATACAATCGAACAACTATTCCAACGTTTTGTACGCGTAAAAGTAGTTTTACTTACTATTTCATTTTACTTCATATTCTCAACCAAAAAAAAAAATGTAAAGTTAAGACAAATCGCCGACGATAAAAAGAATAATGGCATTTTATTTTTTGTTACTGACTTCTCGCATGATACTCTTGCTGATAAAGTCAGGATCAAAAACAAAAATGCCATTATTCTATAAATATATACTGTTTACCCGATGATTTGCATCATCTTACATTTAGTTTATTGAAATATTATTTTGATGAATGATTGATTTCCTGTTTGCTCATTATATTTTGATTATTTTCCTTTTCAGGTAATTCAAATGTGAATTATTTTGATGAATGATTGATTTCCTGTTTGCTCATTATATTTTGATTATTTTCCTTTTCAGGTAATTCAAATGTGAATTGTTTTGATAACGATCACGAGATAGGATTTTCTGTTTGCACGCTACATTTTGCGTCTTTCTTTTTTTCAGGTAATTCAAAGGTGAATTGTGGTGGTAACGATCACGGGATAGGAGAAGTGGCTTCCACATTACATTGGGGACCATCTACTGACCATAATGGCTTCATGAAAACGCATGGCGAAAAGTAAGTAAAGAAACATAATTATCAAAAGGACTCTCATAGATATAACATATTCGATGTCGGTTATAGTAATATTATGTAAAAGTTACTTAAAAGGTGTATACCTGAACCAGTACACATTTTAATGACCTAATGCATGAATGAAATGAGAAACATGTATGCTTATCGTTTTGATTTGATTTTTATGGGGGGGGGGGGGCTAGGATGAACAATTTTGTCCTGCATTTTTTTTAGTTGTAATCTCTTTCCTGCCTTTTTATGTTTCACTCTATTCGGTCCTGCCTTTTTTTATTTGTTTATCCTGACTTTTGTACATAAATTGTCATCCTGCCTTTTTTTTTTTGCAAAGTTGCTCATCCTGCATGTTTTTTTTACTCAAAACTCCTGTCCTGCCTTTTTTTCAAATTCATCCTAGCCCCCCATAAAAATCAAATGGTAGCTCCCTAATGAGACACCAATTCGCCTTTTCAGAATACAAAGGACTATATGGGTTTCTCATTGTTCGTACACCAAAATGAAAATAACTTTACGTCAATGGTTGAATTCTTATAGTTTAGGACGTTGTCAGCCAATCACAACGTTTTGGTGAACGCTTTTAGAAAATATTACCCAGAATGCATCAGATTGTGAAACGGCGAATTCACCAGACATCTACGAGTGGCGATTCGCGATGGACTGCCTTCGACAAAGAACGAGTGTTGTGTATAAGATGCCAAGCTTTAAATTGTCTATACGACATATGTGACCCGCCATTACATTTCCAGGTTATGGCGGTAAACGTCATAATGAGAAAACGTCGCTGTGAAGTCACGTAACGTAATTGGGGCACCTGTTATTGAATGTCCAATTATATCATGCGGTAAAATTAAGTTTCAGTTTTTCGTGACTTGAGGAAATTTGAATATTATATTAAGATATACAAAACAAGTAGATTTTTTACGTAAAATTAATGATTAAGGTTAAAATCCCGTCTTGATTCGCGTTCTAAATTAACACAATTTATCTTTTAGATTTCTTTGCGTAAATCACTTTCTCCTGAATCATTGATATGTTTTCGATTATATAAAATGGTTTAATTGTCTTAAATTATATCTCCATTGCTAGATATCATTTAGAAAAATAAAGTACCGAAAAATTATAACTTTCCCGAATCAGATTGCAGCATGAACACGAAGTTTTTGGAGTAATTCTCATTGTTTCACATTGTACGGGAAAAAATGAACATATGTATGGAAATATACCGGTACATGTAAATCAAGCAAGATATACCTGACCATTAGGACACCAATAGTGGTTCTTCCCATTTATATTCCTAGGTTTTTTTTTATCGATGACTGTCTAAGAACAACATAAACAAAATGTATGTGTTGTCGAAAGTTTTCTTACATCCCTTTCACCTACATGCCCATATATTATTGGTCATGCTATTTGATTTTTCATCTTACTTTGCATTAACAGATCTTTGATTTAATCACTTTGTTAGAAAACATGTACAAAATGTATTCCCCAATAAGATAAAATGAACATAATAAAGCATATTAAATAATACACAGTTCATTGATGGTTAATTATATATCTTATAAATGTCTTAGATGATACTAAACCCCTAACGAGAGGGATTGTGCTTGATTTTCATATGATGAAGACATAATCTTTCAATCAGTTTAATTGAGGTCTGGAGCTGGCATGTCAGTAACTGCTAGTAGTCCTTTGTTAATTTATGTATCATTGTCATTTTGCTTAGTTTCTTTTGTTACCTATTCTGGCATCGGACTCGGACTTCTTTTGAACTGAGTTTTACTGTGCGTATTGCTGTGTGTTTGTTTATTCTACATTGGCTAGAGGTATAGGGGGGGTTGAGATATCACAAAACATGTTTAACCCCGCCGCATTTTTTCGCCTGTCCCAAGTCAGGGGCCTCTGGCCTTTGTTAGTCCTGTATGTTTTTTAATTTTAGTTCATTTATATGTTTAGAGTTTAGTGTGACGTCCATTTTCATTGAACTAGTACACATTTTTGTTTAGGGGCTGGGTGAAGCCCGCCTCTGGGTGCGGGATTTTCTCGCTGTGTTGGAGACCCATTGGTGGCCTTCGGATGTTTTCTGCTCTTTGGTCGGGTTGTTGTCTCTTTCCCCGTTTCCATTCTCAATTTTACTTGTTATTCATTTTCTTAGCATTGATGTAGTTGTCCTTACGAAAGAAAGAAAAAAGTTTAAGTTATTATTTTGATTGAAGATTCCGGTACATTGTTGCTATGGCAACCGAACCCCCCCCCCCCCCCCAAAAAAAAAAAAAAAAAAAAAAAAACTATAATAGATGAACATGCATATGAAAAATAGAAAAAAAATATTTTGGATAAAATCGAAAAATACAAAAATGACCCTAATTCTGTTATTTTGAAGAATCTGGCAAAATAACTTGTCAGGGTGTTTTGAATCAATGTAAACTTCATAAAAATGCAAAAAAACTCATTTTGACCCTGGTACCTCCATTAGCCTGAAAATCTGATGGCTGGTCACATATAAGCTATGACATTTAACAGAAAATACAGTTACTATATATCTGCATTCAATACGAACTTTATGGATTAGCAAAACTAACACGACATATAACAACGGCAACGGCAACAATTTAAAACGAGGCAGCTTAAAATATGACTGGGAAATTTACGCGCTTGATACAGGTGATTTTCGTAGGTGATTCACTATTGTTTCTAGAGAGTTACAATTGCCAAAGTTACTACATTACTTTCTTTTCAGAGACAAAAATGGCGGCGACTGGGCAGATGGCTTTCATATATATAAATTAGAGTGGTACGCAGATCATATAAGGTATGTACATTTATTGTAATTAGGGTTCAAGGTCAATCGCCATTTCATAGCAGCCAAAAAATAACGGAAATGTTGAGGATAAAGGAATGAAGAATATTGTCTAAATAATTTGATTGAAAGCGATCATTACTCTGCTGACTTGTATTACAACCATTCTCATATTATATATTCTTAAAATGACTATTTTAAATTGCCTAAGATGAACTCGGTATGCATGAGTTGGAACCCTTTGTTTAAAAATGTTTGTCTAAAAAATTATCACATGAGAATTATATAAGAAATCATTGATATGTGTTTGAATTAGTATTGACTTTAATAGACATACAGCTGGAGAGGAAACAATCAAATATCAAACAAAATATGCTGTAAAAATTATAACATACAAACTTGTACAAATGATCGAAAAGTGACATGCAATCCGAAGAATAGCTGACATGAAGTATTCAGATAGAGATTGATTGATTGATTTCAAACGCCACTTTAAGCACTATTGGCTATTTCTCGGCTGTCAGTTTTTATAACTGGAGGGAGCCGGAGTGCCCACAGAGAACATGCGATCTTCGGAATGAAAACTGAAAAACCTAGTGAACTAAGATTGGAATCGAACGCGCCTTCCACGTGTGGGGTTTGAACTCACAACCTCAGTTTGGACAAGACATAGTAGATGAACTATATAAACCACTCTGACTCGGCCACCGAGGCCCCTACTATAATCGAAAGAGACGGTATATATTGGAAGAGATACATGTATTGTTTGAAAGTAAAGTAGAGGTCAATAAAACAAGCTAGGATGGGACTTGATTTACATGTGGTACTTTTCATTATAAATAGGTAGCAAAGTTTAAAACTGTTGTTTTCAGAACTATATTTGAGTTTCTGTATTTTTATTTCATTTGGAGATCACAAACGTTTTTATATCTTGAATTGTGTTAAATGTTTACTTGCATTTTGTCTGTGCATAAAATAAGTATATATGAAAAAGTATGAAGTATTTATAAAAAAGTAACTAATTAATAAAAAAAAAAAAAATGAAGTTATTTTCACCTTCTTTGTTATGCTTCGTTAATAACAAATAGTATTTGTTATTTTTTTTTAAGAGTAACCGTTGATGGCGACCAAATAATGTATGTAGGGACACCTGGAAATGGTTTCTACAGTTATGGAGGGTTCGGTGGCAGCAATATTTGGGCAAGTGGTGGCAAAAATGCACCATTTGATCAGCCGGTAAGTTTTAATGAGGTTTAGGTGTCGTGTCAAACATTTACGCTATTTAAAGGTCAATTGACGATTTTTTAATTTCATTTGAAAAGCATATTTTAGGTATAATTTAGAGACGATGGTTCTTACAATTTATTATTTGGGTTGGATGAAGTTGACCTTATTATATTGACTGACAGCAATCATTTGTTTTTCTTTCATGGAATTACGGTCATCATACTTCGTTTTATGAAAATTGATCTTTTTTCAATTGCCGAAAGATATGAAACAGTTACTGATTGCATGGTTTATAATTCTATTTAGTGTATAATCATAACTTTTAAGTTGTTTCAAAAACGCATTCTTAATGCATTATTTGTTTTTCATTGGTCAGTTTTTTTTCTTAATTTGACTGTGTTGATAAATAATGATCACGGGTGTGGCATGAAATAACATACATGTATGTACAAAGCGTACATGGTATATATTTAATCGTGCATTGCTAGAATAAAAAATAATGCTTGTTGCTGCGTCTTCAAAATTAATTGGTTTCACCGTCCCTAAAAAACTAAAATAGAACGAAATAAATCAAACAGTCAAAAAGAAATAAATGAATAAAGGGTGAAAGTCATCAAGAGTACCAGACTTATACACTGTTACCCCATTCTAAATAGTCATGAACATATCAATCGATTAAAAGTTTTCTCATTGCAGTTCCAGTTGATTATGAATGTAGCTGTTGGTGGTGATTTCTTTTCATCTGGATGCAGTTACAACCATCCACGGCCATGGACTGACAATTCACCACGAGAAATGGGAGAATTCTGGGATAGACGTAATGAATGGTTGGCAACCTGGCATGGAGATAATGTTGCTATGCAAATTGACTATGTCGAAATGGTTCAGGCTTAATCTTGAATTAATGAATATTAAATTTGTATTGACATAAATTCTTCTATCTATCTATTTTTGTCTATATCAGCATATATGTATATTTCTATCTAAAACAGTGATATATAGCTATATGTAAGTAGTACATATAATGGAAACCGACAATGCTAGACAGTATAACAGACTTCACCAACCACTAACTTTGCACCTAACTTCTTTCTCCGACATAAACAAATAAAAACAAACAAACAAAAACGAATGACACATGGTCTAGGTAGGCTGACTTGATACAGGCACCAAATGTGATATGATGGTATCAGTTTTGCGTGCTCACATCTTCCCTTTTGTCTTTCTAAACAGTATGTCTTTAAAACCCAGACACACAATAAAAAAACTGCACAGTGCACACAGTGCAGCTACTAACAGGATTTTTTTTGTATTGATGAAACTACATACATTACAACATTACAAAATAATGGCCACGATTTTACAATAATTAATAAGAGTTGCATACATTAATGATAATGTCAACCTGAAACATATACTAGTCAACAAAAGTAACGATACACAAGTTTGAACTCCAATGTATCATAAAATATAATAAATAGGAAAAACTGTTAAATTATCCAATGAAAAACATGCATTTGCAAAGCAAATGCATATGATTAAAAGAATCTGACCAAATTGGAAAGTGATAAAATACCGTGTTTTTGAACACAGGGGTCAAATTTATTTTGCGGAAAATGATGACAAAAGTCGGCACTTAATTTCGAAGATGAGAATTAAGTATTCAAACATCTGCAAAGGCATTCAAAATTTTAAGCAGACCATGTTTAAGTTTTAAGTTTTAAGTTCTAATATCGATTTTTGAATTTTTGGGTGAAAATACGATTTTTGAAAAAAAAAACCAACTCGTATTTGCCTTAAATTAATGATTTTGATAAGAAAATAACACTCTGTAAATATTAGACCAATTGAGCAATTATTTACCTTGGTACAGTGTATCCAATTTCATTATATATGGAAAATACATTGCCTTGTATCGTTTCTTTTGTTGACTAGTATATTACAGTTTATATATTTTTGACATGTTTATCATAGATATACTTCAATTGGTGGATATTCGTTTCTACAATAGCAGCCGACCATTACTTGGCAATGTTGGTAACATCGCGTCGTGGTTTAATTTTAATTTAGTTTTAATTTTGTCTAGTTTTGAATTAAAATCGAAGGAATGAGGATACAATTTGAAACATTTGCCATTTGCTTATGTTTTGTATAAAATTTTGTCAGGCATTTCAGAAGCAGTTACACAAGTGGGATTGTACGACGAAATAATGGCCCATTATTCAAAACACAGAAATTAAATATAATTAAGAAGATGAATGGTAATTTTGTCTATGCTATTAAGACACACAAGAGTAAAATACTCATATCTACGTATGTAACAAATACTCAAAAGAAAACAGTGCTAGTAACTATTAGCAGTTTGTAGTTGAATTTAAAGAACCAAACAACACGTACGAGGGTCCGAATTAGGTTTTCAGAATAGAATATAATGAGCAAAAGGTGCAGAATAAAGACCTAAATAATAAAGAATATATACAGAGAAAAATAGGCAAAAAAATAAATAAATAAAGAATAGAGCATAATGGGGTGTTAAAACACACAGAATAGAGAATAATGGGTAAAAGATGAGAACATATGTTGAATATAGAACCGACTGTTACCAGCCGGTTTGATATTGAATATAGAATAACGAATGACGAACAGGCCGCTAACTTCACACACAAAAGTGATGAAGAAAAGAGAAAAATGGTCTACAAAATTAAAGAAAATAAATGAAATGAAGGACCCCTATCCAGACCCTCGTGTACTCAGACGTAGGCGTTGCAAAGAAATAATGTACCTGAAAAGTGATATCCGTACTAAGCATTATCCGTTTAGCTGTTGAACATGATAAATACGCAATACTAGCGGATTAATCTGACAAACTAAGCATACGACTCATGGTCTAAGTAACTCTCCACTTGGAAAAAATTCCCTAATTTGTTCTTTTCTTGTCGGTTTGTTTGTAAATAGGAAACGACATATTGACCGTATAAATGCTTCCTGGATTAAATGTTTACTTGCAGTTTATCGGTAACTGTCGAAAACATATGCATAGGATATCGATACATACATGTACATGTATATCGGACAAAAATAAACTTATACCGTTTATCTATCCTAAGATAGATAGATATATGGCTGTTCAACGTCCACCGTCAAATTAAATGCATATTCAGGACGAGAACATGTTAACGCAATATGAATATGAGCCCGGTTTTGTACAAGACTTACATGCTGAGTCGGAATTTTAACTTGCTAGGTCATAAGTTACCAGTCCGCATGGAGACCCTACCCGGACACTGTATTCAGATTCCGAGCATATCGAGTTTTGGTATAACTACTTAATGCCGCGTGCTTAGCGGAGAGACAGCAAATACCAATTTCAAAATCTTTGGCTTGACTCGGGCGGGGATCGAACCCACAACCTCCCGCACTCGAGACGAGAACGGTAATATGGGACCACCGAGGCTGTAAAACTACAATCTATAAGAGGGTAAAGGGATTATGATTGTGATGGATTTGCGTTTAATGTCCAGTGTTAAATATACTAGTAATATGATTATCAGGACGAGAACATTTTTTTTTAATAAAAATAGATTAATCCTTCTTTGTTCTAGACTACCTAACCCATATTTATCACGTGTTAGTCCATAAAGTGAAAATCTACAGGGAAACATGTTACCATAACCGGATTCATACTTTGTATTCCGAATCGGTCTTTCTTTTGACTTCTCGTTATAGCGAGCACTGTGGAGAAGTATCAAATTCCAATGCGCCGTTTCAGAATCTAATGCATTCTGGGTAATATTTCGAAAAGCGTACACCAAAACGTTGTGATTGGTTTAAAACGTGATAAACAATAGAAATTCAACCAATGACGTAACGTCATTTTCATTTTGGGGTAAGAACAATGAGATTACCCATAGTCCTTTAGATTCTGAAAAGGCGAATTTCATTGTCTTTTTAATACGACCGAGAAAAGAACCCACGGCCCTCCGAATTCTATGAGAGTACGCTACCACGGAACCATCGAGACATCGAAACCATTGAAGAAGAGCGCGATGGGGGTAGGGGTGGGGTGAGATTACATATGACTTGGTTATTGTCGTACTAGAAGGTTTTACACAAATTATTGAAAGATTTTCAACAGCCTTTAAAAAGTAAGATTACAGATTGTAAAATACAAAAAAGTAGAGGAAAAAAAAAACACGACCAAAAAGAAAAATGTCACAAATCTTTAAAAAGGATATTAAAGATTTGACGGGTAAAAGATACATATACATTTTAAAGGCAAAATAAGTGTTGCATACCAAATCCGGAAGGTAAGCAACTAACAATCAATCAATCAATCAATCCGTCAATCAATCAATCAAATCCGGAGGACCATATTTTTTTCTTAAACCATATAAACTTTCCTGAGGGAATAGGTACAGTAATTAAGAAATAATTCTTTCATGGCGTGCTCTATGCTCATTTTACCATGCGTAGGCATTATATTTTGCAATATGTTTACACCGAACGTTAGTTGTTAAAATGAGCATAGAGCATTGCATGATAGAGTTATTTCGATTCTAATAGGAAATTTAGAATACCGAAGCGGACCTATAATAAGCGTTCGAAAGGCAGCCATTTTGATTTGGTGAAGCCAAAACGTTATAGAAAACCAACAGTTTCACGATAAAAAAAAAAAAACCAGATACACGTAAACTTACTTTAAGATTGATTACATTTAATTTTTTAGCAAGCAATACCAACAAAAATGTTCATTTTGATAGCAGGCGTTGTTCAAAATACAACTGACGTTGCAGTTTCAATTGTGACATCAATCACGTGCAGCCCATTTTCTATTGGTATTAGAACATGGCTTTGTTTCAAAAGCGAAAGAAGAACTTTATATTAGCATTTAAAATAAGATATAAATTTATTATTGTTGGAAATTTCTAACAATGCACTTTACGTGATGCATAGAGCATAATGCCCACCAGTGGATAGCTGTTTTAATTTCTTAATATATTGCTAGATGTTTCACGTTCAGTGGCAAATATTTACATGCATATTCTGGAAAAAATCCTGACGCTGAGTTCTTTTTGGGGACTCGTCATTTTAGAATTTATGTTGTAACAATAGATATAACTGTACGATATTTATTTTTTTTTACAAATAATTCATTGCAATAATAATTATTATTATTTAATAACTTTCTGTACTTAAGTGTCAATATTATATAAATCTTTTCATTATTCAAAACAAAATAATTTCCAAGACTTTCAGTAATTTTACTATTCTGCAATTTGAGGGACCAAATTATGGCCTTCTCTGTTGTCCATAGGTACATATACGTGTATATAATACACCACTAATGAATATAGCAAACGCCAGTTTACCATTTTTGAAGTAGTTTTGATTTTTGTGGAACTCTTTTTTTTGACTAACACATCACCTCTTACTAGTGATTTTTAACAGAACTAATACTGAAAATTTTATTAACTGGTAACTCTTTATTCTGCTACACCATGCTAATTTTATAACAACACTTTTGATTGAATGCCATCTGTTGTCAATTCCGCGGTTGATTATTGGAGTCGTCAATCCCCGCGCAGATATCATATCCGTTCCGTTCTATACTACGTAACACTACACGCAATATGACCGTCAAATAAAGTGTAGTATTGCGGAGCATGTAAGGAACGGATATGAACTCTGCGCCGGAGATTGCGGAGTCGTTGGAAACAACTTCGTGCAATTGCAATCGACGTCTCCATGATATCTAAAACACTGTTTTAATTTGAACATTTTAAAAGTATTGCATTATTTTATTATACTGTGTTTGAAGAGTTGCCACTGTCAGTTTTGCTTTGCGTATGCAGCAAAACTCCATTTGCGAGCGTTAAATCCGCAATTGAAGATGGCAACTCTTAAAGCACAGTTATTTTATACCTAAATTCAATCTTTTTAGGGA